TTTCAATTCATTTTTTAAATATGGCTCCTCTCATAGTAACCTACTAAAAAAAATCCCACAAGATAGAGTGGATTTGTCAGTGTATAACAGTATTGTGGAGCACATAGTCTTAAAAGTGTGGATGACTGAAATTTCACTTGCAAACCTCTTCATCCTTCTGGATGGCTCATGGAAATAATTCTTAGCTGTTTTCTAGGGAAGGAAACAGACACAGAGTTGAAATAAGAGGATACAGTGTTTAAAGAGGAACTGTTTAAGCAAGGAAAGATTGGGAGAGAAGTGACAGTCAAGTTGGAAGGTAGATGGGTATGAGAAGATGTGATAAATGAATTGAAACAAAGGAGAGCAGGAGAAACAAAGAAATTGGCTTCCTCTACTGTACTTGACTCGACTCTGGAAACTACCCTTTCTGTAAAGTCCAGGGCAAGACAGAGAGGCCAGGAAAAGTGCCCAGACTGGATAATTCTTGAAATACAAGAGTCTAGTGAGCTGAGGCATTTTATGTAGTGAATACCAGTGTGGCTACAGCTGAGAAGTACTTACGAGTAGCTTCTCAGATATCTGTAGTACTTTTAAAATCCTGAGATCATTATTCCCATTCCTACTCCAAAGTTCATTATTTGTTTTACCTAATACAAAAGGAAAAGTTTTTAGGAGCAGGATTTTAAAAAATATTTTTAAAGAAAAACCACTACAAACCATCATAAAGGGACAGCCTGTTAGGTGATACACTTGGTGCCAGTCAGGCAAGGAGAAAAATAGTTTGTACCAAAAGCAGTCTGTAGGCAAATTAAGAATTTTGATAACATAGAAATATCCACAGCATTATTATATTTCAGCTACTATTAATGATAGTAGATAAATCATTTCTATAGCATTTGAAGGAACTTAAGAGTTTGTGAACTTGTTAAACTTGTTCATGGGCCACCAGATAGGGGTGAAGGGTGAACTGCCTATAAGAGTATTGATTTTCCGAAAGTAGTTGTTACAATTTCAAGTGCTTGAATAATACTTTTGTCTAAATCAAATAAATGGAGACTGGTGGTGGCAGTAGGGGGAAAAAAGGAAAGGAAGGAAAAAGTCTTTTGTTGGATAGTTGTAGTCTAAGGATCTGCCTTCTCCTTTTGGCCAGCAGCATTGTTTGAGGAGAGAATAGTAGTCCTAAGTGGTTATGTAAGCCACTCATTCTTTAGGCTTGCCACCCTGAACCACTCTCTACTCCCTTTCACACCCCCACCCCACCCCATGAGGCTCAGTTATGAGGCCTGCTTAAGTCAGGACAGCTAGAAGGTTGAAGCCTAGTCCCTGAGGGGTCCCATGGGTGGTTTGCCTTAGGAACCGTTAGTAACACTCTTCTACTTTTCCCATATTTCTGAGTTTCCTTTTAGGACTCATCCTCTTTCTGATAGCCTTGGCCCTTCTCTCTCTCTCTCTCTCTCTCTCTCTCTCTCTCTCTCTCTCTCTCTCTCTCTCTCTCTCTCTCTCTCTCTCTCTCTCATCTCTGCTATGGCACTCATATTTCTACTCATGGCTTAAGCTACTATCTCTACTTGAAATAATCCCCAAATCTGTGTCTGTAGCCATGACTTCTCTTCTTAGGTTCTAGACCTTTATCTACAACTGCCTCCAAGATATCTTAATCTAGATGTCCCACTGGCACTTCATACTCAATATGTCTGGTGCTGAGCTTGTTATCTCCCACCCCCTCCATCTCCCACCCCAGTGCCCCACATACACCCCCCCCAGCTAAACCTTGCTCCTTCCTCTGACTTCTCTGTTTTTGCCATTGCACATGCATTCAGTGAGTCTTTCTATGTTCAAATTCTTAGAGTTATTTTGACTCTTTCTTTTTTCAGACTTCTGTCTAGTTAGTCACTAAGTCTTGTGGATTCCACAGCCATATCATTCACAGCCATCTTCCCTTTACCCAATTGCCACCACCACATTATTACCATTTCCCCTAATTCATTCTTATGAACTCTCTCCCTTTCTAACTGTCCTTTAGCATAGTGTGGTGGATAGAGTGTTAAACTTGGAGTGAGGAAGTTCTGGATTCAGATCCAGGCTCTGACCCTTACTAGCTGTGTGATTGTAGGCAAATCATTTAACCTCTCTGAGCCTCAGTTTCCTCATCTGTAAAATGAGGATAGTAATACCTGTAGTACCTACCTCACAGGGTTGTTGTGAGGATCAAATGAGATATTGTATGTAAAGCGCTTTGCAAGCTTTAAAGTGTTACATATATATACATATATATATATATACACATACATATATAATTGTCAGCTATTATACTTCTGCCAGAGTTATCTTCTTATACATAGGTCTGGTCATATTGCTCAACTCACATATCTTCAGTAGTTCTCTGTTGCCTACTGAGTAAACTTCATATGCCTTTGCCTGGTATTCAAGGCCCTCCACAACCTGGTGCCCCTCAACATGGTGAGGTGGAAAGAGCACAGGGTTTGGAGTCAGGGGACCTGAGTTCAAATTCTGTCTATGCTTCTTACTACCTATATGACTTTGGTCATGTAATTTCTCTAGTCCTTAGTTTCTTCTTCAGTAACTTAAGGAGGTTGGACTAGATGATCTTTGAGGTCTCTCTAGCTCTAAATCCTATAATCCTACCTTTCCAGCCTTATCTTACATTCATCCCCTCCACATATTCTGCTCTGGCCAAACTAGACTTCTCTTTCTCCCCTAACACGCCCTGTGCTCTCTTGCCTCTGTGCCTTCGCTTAAGCTGTTCCCTATGCCTGTAATGTTTTCCCTACCTTTTGAATTCCTTACCTATCCTTGAAAGCCCAACTCAAATGCCACCTTCTTCCTAGAAGCTTTCCCGGATCCCTGTTGTCAGTGATGACTTTCCCTTTTGTACCTCACATGGCACTTTGTTTTGCACTGCTCTAATGCACTTGTTATGTATTATTGTATATTATGGTTGTCTGTGTATGTGTCTTATTTCCCTACTAGACTGTAAGCCCTATGAGGGCAGGGACCATGGCTTATCTAAACTTTGTATCTCTCAGCTCCCAAACAGTGCTCTGCACACAGTTGGTGCTTAATAAATATTTGTTGAATTGAATGTGTACTTGAAATTAAACATCTATGGGTACAATAGATAAATAAGTAGATAGGTTTTTCATCCATACCCCTGGAACACAAAATAGAAATTTTATCATTGCATAATTTATGAATCTTTGACTTTAAAAAAAAGTCTTTCTAAACACAAGGATTAGTGCTTACAATTTTATAGAAAAATTAATTTGATTCCCTGGACTGCTTGCTTATATTCATAAAGCCAAACTATTCCAGGACTGGTAGTAGAGACATTTTATAAATCTAATTATGTTGTTTTTCATCATATTAACATATTTAGGTGTAAATGAAAGTAATCATTTCCCATATATCTTATCATATATTCAAGGATCCATAAAATCTTTTTACAAGTTCTGCTCTTTTGACCTTAGGGGGATTGGACCTGGGAAGTATAAGGGACAGATAAAAAGAATGTTGCCTTTATTTTAAACACTTTTAAATTATGCACCAATGAAAAGATTAGTAATGATTTTTTTTCAGTTGGAGTTCATGTCTACCCAGTTCCAAACCAACACACAAGAGTCTGTGGAGAAAAAAAGACAAAACCTTGGGAAATATGCTACTATGTGGGGAACTGAAATATTTAAATAAAAATGAATGAATAAATAAATAAACCATAGTTTTAATGCATTCCCTTTTACCTTACCAATTCAATTAATTAATTACTAGTTTGTAAACATTGCTAATGGAGAGTCAGTGTCTAGTAGTTAGATAGAGAGCTGGAGTAGGAGTTAGGAAGACCTGGGCTCAACTTAAATTACAGGTTTGTTAGATGACCCTGGCCTAGTCACATCCTCTCAGTCCCCAGGGCTGAGATCAACTCTAAGCAGAGAAAGTGTTAGCCTACCTTGATACACCTACATCAAAGACCTAGTCTTAGAAAATGAAAAAAAAAAGAATCTGTCCTAAAGATGCCATAGGTTTAAATGCATTTTAAGCTGTTGAGGAACCATCTGGTGTCCACACAAATATTTATGATTTCATTTACATACCAAACATATGCAAACACTTCACTATTCCTGGAGAATTTAGGAGGTACACAGCAATCTCATGGTCTACAAAGAGCAGCAGTCTACTTAGTTGAGTTGTTCAGTTACTTTTCAGTCCTATCTGACTCTTCTTGATCCCATTGGGCTTTTCTTGGCAAAGATACTGGAGTGGTTTGCCATTTCCTTCTCCAGCTCATTTTACAGATGAGGAAACTGAGGCAAATAGGGTGAAGTGACTTGCCCAGGGTTACACAGCTAGTAAGTGTCTGAGCTGGATTTGAACTCAGGAAGATGAGTCTTCCTGATTCCAGAACCTGTGTTCTATCCACTTCAACACCCAGCTGCCCTACTTCTTAGTTATAAGGAATGGATAAGCCTACTTAAATAATCCCTCATAAAACACTTTACTAAATGTTAGTTTCCCTGTGTTGCTTCCCAGACTATATAGGCACAGCACCTGCCTTCCAGGAGCTTACAACCTAGTGACTATTGCTGTTCTTAGTGTCAATAATTTAGATGTCCTAGTTATCACCATGTGGCAGCTACTAAATGGTTCCCGTTAGAACATAATAAAAAAAATGAAAACGGAATCCTCAGAGGGAAGATGTAAGCTTGAAAGGGAGAACGCATTCCCTGGCTGGGAATTTCTTCAATATTTAGAGCTGATGAGCTAGTAGGAGAGAGATTGGGGAATTTCCCTAGCTTTCCCCTACCAGAATCCTTTCAGTTAAGCATCCAAGAACAGCTCTTTCTGATTTACTTCTTCTGCCACTGGGAGGCCCTCTGTGCTCCTCTTTCCCCTCTGCCCATCTCCAATTAATTACTCGCTGGTGCTGTGGCACCAGCCATCCACCAGGGAGTCTCCAAATAAGCTTGCTCTCCCTCCCCCTCCCTCTCCTCCGCACACACCACCTCCCCCCCCATCTGCAGCTTTGCTGGCTCTCTCTTTCTCTCTCTCTGTCTCACTCTCTCTCTTTCTCTCCTATCCGAGCACAATGAAAGCCTGTGTATCTCCGTGACTCCGGGCAGTGAAGCGAGTGTCAGCAAAGCTACTAACAACAGAGGAGAAAGAGAAAGGAAAATACCAGCTACTTTTTTTTTTCCATATATAAATCGGAGCGATCCAAGAGATTCACACTGGTCATTGCGAGTCCAAACCCCGCAGATCAACTGGCCGGGGATGGAATGTACAAAAACAGAAAGGAAAGTGACTGGACGTTACTTGGTGCAATACGCTGGAAGTTTGTAAGTTGGACTATCATTTGTAAATTACTCTGGGAAGAGTTCTCTGTTGATACTGTGTCTCAATAGAGCCCGGGTGGGGAAGAGCAGCATAAGCGGGAAAGCTATGCGCTAAGTGATCTGCCTGGCTAGCTACTTGAGGTTGCTTTCATTAAGGAAAGGGAACCTTACAAGAGATGAGGCTCTTTCCAGTGGCTGGATTCGCGGAAGAAAAGAGCATGGTCTGAAAGTCCAGTTATTGACATTGGGAACAACCGAGAAACTGTCTCCCTCCTTTTGGGGGGAGACGAAATAGAGGAGCTCTGTTGCAGCAGCGACAGTAACCAAACAAGGAGGAAGCATAGGGAGCACAGAGAGGAAGAGGGGAAGAAAAAAAGAAATTAAAACCAAAAAGACAGTAGTTCCTGTTGGCACATTGTGATTCTCGGCTTCTAAACTCTATTCAAAAGGCAGCACATTTTTTTTTTAAACATGAGAAAAAGTGACTGTGGTGAGGCCATGAATCCAGGCAGCTTTGCATTGTGCTTCTTTGCTGAAATTTCCCCATAAAGAAATATCAGAAACAGCTAGGTAAGGGGGGTGGGGGGGGAGTTCAGGTCTTGATTAACCTCTCTCCCTCAACTCCTTTCTATCTTGCTTTCTCTTGACAACTCCTGAGACCTTAAAGCTAAACCCTGTATCCTATAACATTTGCAAAGTACGCAGTGGCTCTTGTCAGCCCGGTTTAAAAAAAAAAAAATCTCTCAACTCTGCCCAACTTCTCCAGAGCTGTCAGATGCAATTAGAGTAAGTTGATTAGGGTTTGTTGTCATCTTACTTAGCTTCTCCAATTGGCTTCCTCCCCACCCTTCTTCCATCAGGCTATTCTTCCACCCCTTAACTTCTTCACTCCTCCTCCAAGCCTCAGTTTCTCCATACCTACTCGATATACATGTGGCACTGAAAACAGAGTCTATATCATTATTGTTAATAATAATAATTATTATTATTATTATTGAAAACACAAGTTTCCAGCACTAGCCAGATTTAACCACCACAATATCTCAGAGGCAGCAATCATTGTGGCCAGTAGGATGGGGGACACAGCTCCCCCTCAGGCCCCAGCAGGTGGATTAGGGGGGGCTTCTGGGGCAGGGCTCCTTGGAGGAGGCTCAGTTGCCCCCAGAGTACACAGCGCTATTGTGGAACGTCTTCGTGCCCGCATTGCCATCTGCCGCCAGCATCACCTAAGCTGTGAGGGACGCTATGAGCGGGGTCGAGCAGAGAGCTCAGACCGAGAACGGGAGAGCACCTTGCAGCTCCTGAGTCTTGTGCAGCATGGTCAGGGTTCAAGGAAGGGTGGCAAACACGCTAAGGCTAATGCCAATGCCACAGCCACTGCAGCACCTCCTCCCCCTGCCGCTCCTCCTCCTCCAACAGCAGCAGCAGCAGCAGGAGCAGCAGCGCCAGCTCCACCACCTCCACCAGACTATCACCACCATCGCCACCACCCCCAGCACCTGCTCAACAGTGGCAGTAACTCTGGTGGGAGTGGAATCAATGGCGAGCAGCACCAGCACCAGCAGCAGCCACCTCCCACTTCAGCTACTGGGGACCAGAGGAACTCAGCCCTGATTGCGGTAAGCAACACTTTCCTACTTATTGTCACAAGAATCTGGTGGTCTTTGGTAGCACTGGGTTTGTGGGATATCCATTGGGTGCCTGATGGGGAGTCTTCCCTTCAAAGGCAAGGACTAGATGGTTTTGAAATGTCACCTGTCATGTACATTGATGTTCACATTGTTTCCTCCACCTATAGATGACCTCCCTATCAGAACCTATGCATCTTTTCTAGGCATCTTTGGAGTCCATGGAATGTAGAAGCAGCCTGAACTTGGCAAGGAAGGCCTGGTCAAACCTCTATCACAACTCTGTCTCTGTGCTAGTTGGTGCTTTTCACTGCATGTGCCATGAGGATGTATTGGAAACACCTTTAGGCCCAACTAGCCATTCGTTTGCTTTAAAGTACGCATTGGTTACCTCTACTCCAGTTTAGTTCTGTGAACTCTTCTCCGACTGCCCCATATCTTTCCGTTTTGAGGATACCTGTGGCTACCTGTAGTTGCAGAGCAAATATTTAGTTCCTTTCAGATACAAATTACTATGAAAAGTTCCCAAAAGTGGACTAGAAGGAGCTTTTGAAATAGAAGGAAAGTTTGATTCTGGTTTAGTTTCCTTGTTGTCTGTTGCTTAATTTACTCTAGATCCTGCCTGTTTTCTTTCCTGCTGCGAGCAAATGAGCCCCCTCAACTATCCCTGAGAAGTTATGGTTGACTAACCTGCCTTCGTCAGCATACATATGAACAAAGGTATATTTGCATAACATCTTCTAAGGAAGTGCCCAGTTGTTGGCTGCTCCCAAAGACAGGATATCATACTTGAAGGGTCTGATTAAGTTTCTGGCCTGGAATTCTTCCCCAGCTGCACAGACACACCCTGTCCCAGAGGGAGGATCTTTTCAATCATTGGCTCTTGGTGCCAGGCACAGTCACCTGACCTCTAGTTGAGTGTATGGCTTTGCCCAGATACATGTAGCTAGCTGGTCAGCGGTCCTCGGATGGAAGGTGGCGCCCCATCCCACAGCATCCCCAAGTTCTGTTATGCCACTGATGCTTTGCATCTGTTCACACATTATAGCTCAATTCAGCCTCAGCCAACTCTAATGAAAGCCAGCCACAGGAAATGGCCAAGCAAGCCAACTCTAAAGTATTCAGGAAGCCCACTGGAATGGATGAGAAGGCAGATGCAAGTCACCTGTTGAATGGCCCAGACAATGTGCTTTGGATTTGGTAGCTATAGATGGCAGCCTCAATACCTGTAAGAAGCAGCTAGGTACCACAGTGAATAGAGCACTGGGTCTGGATTCAGGAGGACTTGAGCTCAAATCTGGCCTCAGACACTTACTAGTTGTGTGACCTTGAGCAAGTCATTTAACCACTGTGTGCCTCAGTTTCCTCAACTATAAAATATGTATAACAATAGCACCTATCTCCCAGAGTTGTTGTGATGATCAGATGAGATAATTGTAAAGTGGCTTAATTCGGTGCCTAACACATAATAGGTATTCTATAAATGCAAATTATTATTATTAATTATTGTTATTATATGGTACAACTGCCCAAGCTACCCCTGAATACCCTGAAGTATTCACGGGGCCCACTGTCACCCCTATTTTCACTCTCTCCAAATTTTTCTTGGGGGCTGGGAATCTGGCATTTTGGCATTACTGAGAGATCTGTGTGTGATAAATATTTAGTATTTAGATCTCCTGGATTTATTTTCCTTCATCATCTTTGATTCTCCTTTCCCTCTACCACCTGCTTTGTTACTAGCCAGTGAATCAAGATCCCTCAGAGGGTAACAGGAATTTGGTTTGTGCAAGAGAATATGAAATATGAAAAATATTTCATATTTCTTGTGAAGTGAGTAATTGAAGATAGGGGTTGGGAAAGATTGGTGGGCTTCATTTAACCAATGAAGAAAAAAATAGGGTTTGTATTTATGTATATGTCACAGGCATCTGGGGTCCTAGAATATCTAAATGCATTAATTGTCTCCTACAGTAAATTTATAATCTGTCTTCAAGTCTACTAAGAATACAGCTTTGTGTGCTGTCTAGTGTCCTGGTCAGTGTGCCTATGTATGATCCACCAAGAATGAGGCACCCATCCCCAACAGACAGTAGAATAGACTAGTCTCTGCTCTCTGTCCAAGACTAAAGAGGGAGAGAAAGTACATTTTGGGATTTTTTTAGGAAGCCTGAAAAAACCCTGCTTTCGCAGTGATTTCCCTAAAACCTTCTTACTAAATGATCATGAAGGGGTTTTTGCTTTCCACTAGTAAGGAACAGATGGTTTGGGATTGGATGTAGAGCTCAGCAAAAATGGTATCTTTACTCCTGGTATTTGGCAATGGAAAAGGAAACAAACTTCTGGGATTACTAAGATTTTTCAGTGTTCCTAGGGAACCCTAGAGTCATATGAGGCAGGAAAGGTTGCTCTGCTTCAGCTGTAGGCTTACCCGATTGTAGTACTCACTTCTTTTTCCTGAGCGAATCAATTTTGTCTTTTCCAAATATGAGTCCTCCTTGGGCACAAAGAATTGGAAAAGTTTCCTGAAAGATACAGTTACAACAGTGAGTGAAAAGAGCCTTAAACACCTTTGTTAAGTCTTCTCAGTGGTTGGTTTTCAGTGAAAATGTGATATTCTGTGGGGTTTGTCCTCCCCCTTGGTTATTGGAAATTCCATTTAGGTTTTGTCTTCTAAATTTGGTGCTCCATTACTCAGCATGGTATATAGAGATGGGGATGTAAATGCTGTATTAACCTGATAACACCGTGTCCAAGGAGAGGCCAAGTCATTTGGGAGTGATTCACCAGGCAGATTAAATCTGTAGTCAGCTAAGCTAGGCTAACCTTTATTCTCAGAAAGTCCCACTTTAAAATGTCCTTTTTTTCCCTCAGCACATGTGTCAAAACTCTTAAAATGATTGATATTCTAGATGTATGCAGATTTATGTGACCTGGACGTGTTCAATATTTATAGTTAATTCATAAGGACTATGTGGTCATAAAGGTCCAAAAGCAGCTTTTGGAGGAAAGTATTAATGAGGATACTGATCTTCAGTGAAATACATTTTAGTATCCTCAGTATGAAAGCATCAGTATCACCACAGTACCTTCCCGGGTGCTTTGCACCTTTCAGGTGCTCAATAAATATTTTCTGTGAATAAGAAGGGATGAGTGAATGAGTATGAAAAGAAAGCTCACCGTTCTCTATGACAGCCTGTGATCTGGGCATTAGTATTCAGCTACAGATGGGAACTTAGTCTCCATCCTTTCCAACAGATAAAGCTGTAGGGACAGTACAACATAATCCCCAATCCCTATGTAATTCTATACAAATTGAGAGCTGCAGCCTAGAGCCCTCATTCAGCCAAAATCTTCATGTAGCTCAAGTACAAGTTCAGAGGGGAGCCCACTACAGCAAAAAATCAGGAATGGGGGTTTTGCTCTCAGAAGATCTTCAGGTCCAAAAAATTGATTCAAGGCTATGATATTATATATTATATATAATATTGTATATTATATATAGTTATATTTAATATTAATTGATATGTAATTATAATTCTATATCATAATTATGTGATTAAGATTGTGGATTAAATATGTGTAAATCTAAGTAAAATGGCATTAAATAATTTATGGTCCATGAAACAGCATCATTTTGGAGCCATTGTTGGCCATTGCTAATCTTTCTCTTTTGCTTTGGGTAGATTTTTTTTTTCTTATGTGTGGGCTGTTTGGCTGGGATAAGTGATTCTAAGTCATTCTTGAAACAATCATCAACCTCTACATAAGTGTGGGTGAAAAGGACTACCATACCTTGTGTTTGGAGACCTATATTCTTGTCACTGCTCTGGCACCAGCTAGCTCTGTGATTTCAAGTAAGTTCCCCCCTGTACACTGTAATTATGAGGATAGTCAGTCTGAAAGTCAGCGTGGTACAGTGGAAGTACTGCATTTGGAATAAGAGGACCTGGATTCAAATTCTGGTTCATCCACTACTACCTCTGTGACCTGAGCCCGCTAGGACTCCGCTTCCTTAGCCCTAAAATGAGGAGATTGAACTTGATGACTTCCGAAGTCTTTCTACTCAAAATCTGTTATCTTACTTTCTTACCTTCCTAAGAGGGTCAAATGAACTCACCTTTGTGAGAGCACCCTGTATAAGGCACTGGTTTTGACTATAAAAAGAGCCCTTCAGTGTTTGACTAGTATACTAAAATTTTAGTTTGTTCATGCCTAATAATAAAATGACTTTTATTCTCAATAGAACTGTTGCTATTTCAGATTCAGAGTTGTCAAGATAAGGCTATCAGGAAAGATATCAATTCACTTAAGCGCTCTTAAAGGCCCTAGTAAATCCTAGTTACTATGTATGGCTGCTGTTAGCAATGTGTTGGGATCTCAGAAAACATGCTGTCTGACAGGCACATATTATAGCTCACAGGCTTTGCTAAAGAGTCTGAAAGGGTGTGTACAAACAGTCTTGATAGGCAAATGCTACTGCTTCTAAGGAATATTAGAAAGGTCGTTTACACAAATGGGCCTGGGAAAGTTAAATATTTTGTTCACAATAGCCTAAAACGTTAATTGTTAGCTTGAGAATGTCAAACAAGTTAAATCATTGCCAGGGCTCCTTGGTTATTTTTATTTGATGATAATCAAGTTTCCAGTGGACAAGTCAAAGCTAGGGGAGCTGCTAGGAAGGCCAAGCAGGGAGGCCTGTACAGAGTCCAGGGACAGCCCAGTTCAGTCTGGGTGTCTGGAGCAGCCAGAGTGACAAATTTCCTTTCTAAGACACCAACAGCAGCACTTACATTACAGAGATGCAGCAGACATTTCCTAAAAAACTGACCTTTTTTTATTGGGATTCATGTAACAGAGTTAGGAAGAGAGCATCCTTATCTACAAGGGAACTTCTTATTCATTTTTTCAGTTACCTAGGAATTATAAGATCTCACAAAGGTAAAATGCTTCATTGGAGATAGGACCTGACCCAGAACAGTATTTTCCCT